AAGCAAGTAACTGGTTCACTCTTTAACATTCTTTTAAAATCTTGTCATTTCATGCAGTTGGGGGACAAAGCTGGGAGGTCTATAATAGAGCTGAATAGTTTCCTCCTCAGCTTTTTGTCTGGTTATACCATCTTGGCCAATTTCTTTAATTTAAAAAGTCATTAATCTTAACATTTCTCTATGTAAAAATTAAAAATTGTGACATTCACACTTTCTTTTTGCTCATAGAAGTTTAGAGAAGATTCAATATCTTAAATTATCAATTTGTGAACTCCCTGAATAGTGTTGTGACTAGCTTCTAACGTAGCTCCCAATCCCCTTCTCCTGATGTTCATGCCTTTGTGTAAGCCCAGCTTTGTGAGTGTGGGTGGGTCCTGTGACTTTTATCTAACAAATAGATGGCACAATTGATAGAATATCACTCTTGTGATTATGTTCTGTTCTATGGCAAAGGTACTGGGATGTCAGTCTGGTTGCATTGCATTATTTAGGACTCTGTCTCACTTCCCTGGTGGCTCAGAGGGTAAAGAATCTGCCTGCAATGTGGGAGACTCAGGTTCAATCCCTGAGTTGGGGAAAATCTTCTGGAGAAGGGAATGGCTACCCCCTCCAGTATCTTGCCTGGAGAATTTGATAGAATGAAGAGCCTGGCAAGTTACAGTCCATGGTGTCACAAAGAGTTGGACATGACTGAGCAACTAACACTTGTAGTATCTCTTGCTCTCTATTATTGGGTTTTGATAAGCAAGTTGCCATGAAACCTATGGCTACAAGGAATGCTTCTGACAACAACCCTGAGGAATTGTGATAGGAAATCCTTCCCCAGTCAAGCCTGTAGATAAGAACTCAGTCCTGGGTGACATCATGATTGCTGCTCTGTGAAACTCTGAGGATGTTACAAAAGAGTGTGGGGAAAGCCAATAAACAGGCCAGTTTGGTGGAAAGGAAAGCTTGCTTTAATTCAGATGCCAGCAACCAGGGGAATGGTGGGCAGACATCTGTCCAAAGGTCGTACCCACCCCCCAACTGGCAGAGCACCCCCCACAACCAGAGGGGCAAGAGCTTTTAGAGACAGAAGTGGGGTTACATACAGAAACAGCACAGTCATCTTTGACAGTCATCTTCAAATTGGTCATCAGTGGTCTAACTGTTGTTTTAGGTACAGTTAATTTTCAGTTCCAGGGTGTTTCCTCCCATTTCTTTGAGGCGAATTCTTGGAATTGTGGCAGCTTATGTCATGGGTATAGTCTGGTTATCATGTAGTTAATTTTTTCACCTGGTATTTTAGTATCTATAAGACAGCTCCTGGGATATGGTTCAGAATATTATCTATAGTCCTTGAGAAGAAAATAAATGTCCTAACTATGTTTAATTATTACATTATTATTATTATTTAATCTCCTTTGACTGTTTTCCTTTGTTTCTACATTTTCATTTCTCTGATTAAACTTATTCTTTGAAGTTTTCCACAGACAGAAGCAGGCAGTGGATGTTGCGGGGTTGGGGGTCAAGGACCACAGGGTCCTGCTTCATTTCAAGGAGACCCAGCTAAACATTGCCCATACTCCTAACCCACAAACCTTTGAGATAATAAATATGTTTTAAACCTCTGTTTGCAGCAATTTGTCAAACAACAACAGAAAGCTAATACAAGTGCAAAGCCTCAATTAAATAGGTAATATATTTTAAGAACCTCAAAGAGGTAGATGTTAATAGGTCACTCTAGATTTTTTTAAAATTTCATTTCATTTAAAGTAAGTAAAGACAGAGAGACAGCACAAAGTTCTGTAATTGAAGAGTAGCATTCTTTATTTCATAAAGGTGTCAAAATTTTATTTTATTGCCCATAGTTCTATAAGGAATTGGATATAAAGCACCAATAATTTTGTGATCCAAAGTATAGTGTAGTTGTTAGGTATTATTTACTATGCTTAGACTGTATACATCCACAAATATTTATACTTTATGATTAGTATACACAAGCCTTTTCCAAGTTTGATCTTCAGTTCAGACTAGGATTTTTAATATTGTTTGTATCATGCACTAAGATGGAAAAGCATTAAAAGGTAGAAATGATAAATAAAAGTCATTTCAAAAAATATTGTTCCAACCTGTTTGACATGGTGGTGTTCCTATAGTCACATGACAAGAGTGATTCCTAATAGGTTTGATTCAAATTTGATTTATCAATCAAAGCCATATTAGAAAAATGCATTTTCATAACAAATTGTCAATTAATAAATTCACCAATATTACATATTTGACAACTTTGGGGTTAAAAAAAAAAAAACTCTTCACTTTTCTTTTCCCAGTAAATTATGTCAAAGTAAGTGACCGTTGTCATTGTGCACCAGAAAATCAGAGAAATGACATCTTCTAAAGCCCCACTGAGGTCAGATTCAGGCTGAAAAAACTATGCTATGAGAAATTTACCCACATTTCCACTCAACAAGAGGTTTCTTACAACCTGTGAACACACAAAACATGAGATGCCCTTCCTTCCTGTACTTTGGTTAAAAAATGCTTAACTTTTTTCCCGAACATATCTAACTTGACTCTCACGCTTCTTATCACAGACGACGGTGCAACATGCTGTGCTTCTTCCCTCTACCATTTTGGGTTTGATGCTTACTGTAAGATGGTATCATACAATATTTAACACTTCAAACCACAGAAAAGCAAATGACATGTTGTCTGCTTTTCCAGATGAACTGTGGTAGTTCTTAAAACATTGTTCACGTAGAATACTTTAAAATCATCTTTCCTAAAATAAATGTGGTATTTTTGCCCCTGGACTTGGTAAAAGAGGATTAACAGAAAATGCTACATTCATGTAAGCAGATCTTTAACATAACAGTTCTAGTCTGTGGTGAGAAATAAGCAATATCTGTTAAATCACAATTAATTTGCAAGCCCCTGTTGAAAATAAATGTATTGCTAACCGTGTAGCTATTATAAATTATGTGCTTATGTCTGAAAACTTGCTTGTAGACCTGAGAAGAGTCACCTTATATATGTTTGCCTTCCTATGTACCAAATAAAGCTTTTTCTCCTATTTACAATATCCTTATTCATACAATATCTACAATTGTACATTTTAAACATTGGGGTTGGGGCAAATGGCAGTCCTGTGGTGATAACTACACAGAACCAGCAGAGGTGAACAACATCCAGAGAGACTAAGCAGGTAAGCTAGAGATGGGAAAAACTGGCTTCCAATACTAGCCCTCCCAGTGACATGGGAGGTTCTCTGAATACCGGCTTCCTTATCTATATGCCTAATGTCTCTCTACAGGTCTATTTCTGGGATCACTTGGACAACATCTTTCACCTGTTATGCATTCAGTAAATGACAGACAAGACTGCTGTTGTTCCTGTGAAAGCTCTACTTTTCACATGAATGATTCTTATGCAGAGCCCACTGGACACTCCTGAATTCAAAGAATTAATAGAAAGTATGTCCCATTAGCGGAGAAGGCAATGGCACCCCACTCCAGTACTCTTGCCTGGAAAATCCCATGGGCAGAGGAGCCTGGTAGGCTGCAGTCCATGGGGTCACGGAGTCAGACACAACTGAGCGACTTTGCTTTCACTTTTCACTTTCATGCATTGGAGAAGGAAATGGCAACCCACTCCAGTGTTCTTGCCTGGAGAATCCCAGGGATGGGAGAGCCTGGTGGGCTGCCGTCTATGGGGTCGCACAGAGTTGGACATGATTGAAGAAACTTAGCAGCAGCAGCAGCCGCCGCATGTCCCATTAGAAATATTTTCCTATTTTATTTTATCATTTATTCTTACCCTACAAGCTTCCTTGCCCTCATCTCTTTTTTTCTCAAAATGAGTCACTCTTTACTCAGTTTAATTGTATCAGTTGCACTCAGTCATCTATCTCTCACACATACACACACATGCATGCACACACAGCATTCACAATCAGTAGGGACCGTTTATTGCATTGTCCAGATTATCTATCCTAGAATATAGGTAATGAGCAGCTGTATCACCAGAACAGAGAAATCATGAACTTTAATGGGCATTGAATAAAAAGGTGATTGAAAGGTGAGGAGTAAAGTGATACCAACATAACTAATAGACAAGAGAGTGCTGAGGCAATAACTATTAAGAATATATAATATAAAGTGAGGAGTAATGTGAAAAAAATTCCACAGGAGGAAAATCTTTTTCCTAACTCTAATTTTTCAAATTTTAGACATTTGTTCAAAAAAATCACAAGGCTATAGGATCTTGAGAGTTCCAGACTTGTCATCAATGTTTAGGAAGAGCAAAAGTTGAATCAGGTAAGAAAGACATCCTCATCCATTTTGTTTAGGCCACCAATAAAAAAGACCTTATTATAGTCTTCTTTAGCACCCATCTTAGAAAACATCTTTCAATGGATTTTATAAAGCTTTAATCATCCTATTAAATCTACTTCCTGCTTCATTGTCACTGTGGATGTAAAAAAGGGCTGATGATCATCTTTGCTTCTAGTCTTTCATAAATTTGAACAGAAACATTCAAAATCACCTATTAATAAGCCTCCCCATAGTCTACTGAGCTTAAGCAAATATGAAGTTTTATAACATACCAATTAATCTGCAGAAGATATTCCAAATAATTACATTCTGTCACTTTCTTATTTACACTTGATTCTAAAATTTCTTAACTTTTCACATGACTAATCTAGAAAATAAATATTACCCTTGCTTTCACAGGCAGCATTAAAATAAGCAGGCACTTGAGTTAATTTGTTATATTTTGTAATTTATTATTATTTAATTTTCCTTCTGCCTGCTTAGAACTTGAACCTTTCTGGTTAAAAAACAATTGCCGAAGCATACATAATAGTATAAAAGTTTAAATAAAGTTCACTACCGCTATGAAATGCGATGTCAGTTTTGCAATCAATCTGCACTTTCCCACTAAGTTGGGTGGAGTTGATCTAAAGAAATCTGAAGATATTTACAAAATAAGCTAATATGAAAGGGCACGACAACCCATTAAAAGCGACTCTCTTCCTCTTCCACAGCGCGGTGAAGGCCTGGGATGAATTTCAAGAGCTGTTTCCGGACACTTCCCCTTCTGCTTTTCCTGGGCAGGGTCCCATACATGCCTGAGAAGTTGCCTTCACACAAAGGAGACATGGACCCACTGCTGGCAGAACTAATGCTCCGATTCCTCCTCGAAGAAGACCTCTTCAGAAAATCATCTCCTTCCTTGGGGACAAAGCACTCATCATCTGTGCTTGTCTGGCGGCTGAAGGCTTCCCGACTGGAGTCTTCAGACGCACAGGTCTGGTACCCATCCTCACTGTCTATCGTCATGGAGCTCAGCCAGCTCTTACAACTGCTTGCACTGGATAATCGATTCCGGTCCAGGAGGGCTGGGCCAGGCAGGAGTCCAAGCAATGTGGATTCATCTATGTCCATATTTTCCAAACTTGGGCAGTTAGTTGCATCACCTAGAATGCAGAAAAGAAAGTCTACTGTGAAATAGATCTAAACATCACTTCTTACAAGTAAATACACCAAAATTTCTCTTTGAAAGGCAGAAGAAAGAGTAAGGGTAAATAATTCTTTTCACCAAGCTTGCACAAATAAGTGACTGTCTATGAGATCATTTGATAAACTTAAGAGCATGATTTTTCAAGCTATTCATCCATAGACTGTGTGTGCTCACTCAGTTGTGTTTGACTCTTTGTGACCCTGTGACTGTAGGCTCCCAGGCTCTTCTGTCCATGGAGTTTTCCAGGCAAGAACACTGGATTAGGTTGCCATTTCCTACTCCAGAGAATCTTCCTGACCCAGGGACCAAACCTCCATCTCTTGCATCTCCTGCATTGGTAGGTGGATAATTTAGCACTGTGCCACCTGGGAAACCCTTGTTGATGGATTAGTTTCATGTAAAGGATTCCATGGTCACAAAAATAGTCTAGATTAAATAAATTGAAATTAAATTCTTCACATGAAAACAATTCAACTCAACTAACAGCATTCCAGTGCAACTTTAGAATTTCCAAAAGAATCATTTCTTACATTGAAGTATCCTGCCACTTCTTATTAAAATCATCATAGAAATGGGTTCCAAAGAATATACTTGGAGAAATGCCCTCTTACGGATTTTCTGTTTTAGTTCCTCTGATTTTTATTTACTGCATTTTTTATTATTATAACATCACTTGAAGTGTATGGAAAACACAGTTATAAAACCTGCACCTTACGGACTGATTATTAGAGAATTCAAAGATGTTTAGAACAGAAAGGATATCTTAGAGCCTCAATATTCCCAGTTTATTCCTAGAATACTTAAGTACTTAAATTCTTTGAAATGGTAGTGTATCCATAAAACATCCCTGTCCTAAAATAAATAATCATTTGAAAGAATTGAATGTTATCTGCTTGGCTGAATTTCATCATCCACCTTTTATAACCTACATCTGGGCTCTCCAAACTCAAATTTTAATCTTACACCAACAGCCTGTTCATATCCCACTTGCTTCTGTACTGAGTTGTTTGGTATGCTGCTAAAAGAAAGGAGATTATTTGTAATACTAGCCAGAAAAAAAAAAAATCATTTGAAGGTGACTTTGCTTCCTGAAAAGTAATAGAACATTACACACTCAGAAATGTGTTTTTTTAACCTCATGCTGATTGTCTCTACTGCTGCTCTCCTTTGCCCTTGGTTGACAATATTAAAAGAGACTGTTTATTTTTCCATTTGATCTGCAAGGTTGAGTAGGGTCAGCCCTGTGGTGACCAGTTAAAATGCATTCTTTTTTTGTTAACAAAACCTACTTTATTTCATCTGGCAACAAGTTGATGAATGTCTTTTGATTGGAGAGCATTTGGCTTGTAGAATCTCATGGATGTATATTCTAGGTCTATAAAAAGTAAACTAAAGAACTCTTTTAATCTCTCAAAAAAATATAGACAATGGCCTTATGAGGAGCCAATCTCCTTGATCCTGAAATAAGGACCTTGCCTATACAAGGCCATGCCCATAGAACCACAGAACTGCCTACACTTATCAGATCAAACCCCATCTCCCCTTCAGGATGCTCCTCTGCAAGTGGAGGCAAAGATATCCCAAACACCCTGAAGTCTACAGAAATCCAGGAAGCAGTCATATATTTGTGCCTCTGACTTGTTAGAAAATTTTAGATCCCTCAGAAAAACCCTGTTATATATTTTTAAGATTATTACTTTATAAACACAAATAGAGAAGTAACTCATATGTGTTTCATTTCCTGAAAAGAAAGAACTTGAACACAAACTTCTGTCATATATTAGTGCCAAATTAAGAATTTAATGTATCTTTTTTTCTATAAACAGATGATCACTTTAACCAACAGATATTGTAAGGTTACAAATAGAGACTTTAGGTCAGTCTTATCCAACAAAGATGTAACCTATATTTCACACCCGCATAGCTAGTGGTTTCAGTGCATTATTTGTACACATAAGTTCATTCCTCAGGTTATACCAGTCACACAGCAAGTACCAAGTCCACAAATTTTAAACTCAACCCTTCTTCTCAGAATGCATACAATGGCAAGAAGCATGTATTTACTGTTTTAAAGATCCTTAACATTTCTTGGGTTTGAGGGCCATGAAGGAGAATACCTCTGCATTATTGTAACTTATACAATTTGAACAAATAATACAAGCTCCACCCAAGAAGCATGCTACCATTCCAGCTTCAAGAGTTTCTCAGAGCTATGCAGCCCCTGAGCCATAGGTATTCTCAGGAATTTAATTCATCTGCCAAATAGGAAAATGAGGCAATCATTCATATTTCTCTTCTAAAATCCCCAGGTGCTTCTTGCGAGTGTGTGCATGCATGCATGCATGTCCATGTTTTCATGTGCATGTGTTATATGTATGGAAGAGGGGACGTCATTGGACTTACCTCTCCTCCAAATACACTGGTCACTCCAAAAGCCAAGCCAAAGGAATACAAACTATTTTTGACCCATGCTAGACAATTTTTTCCTTGTAATGATGCCAATCTTAAAACAAGTTAGACACAGAAGTACTGAAAGGATGAAATGTAAGTGTGGTTTCTGAACCGGAAATCACATTTACCATGAAGCAGGCGCTGTTCCTGTAACTGCAGAGATCTGAACTCCACCCATTTCTTCTTCAAGGTTTGCTGAGAAAGAAGAAAAAAAGCGCTAATTATTAGGAAACCCCAGAGAAGATAGCAATGTACTTTCAGAAGTTCAGATTTGTCAATTCATTTTTTTCATTTCTTTCTAGCACTAACAATCCCTCTCATTCATTTGAAAGATTTTTTTTTCTGTGTAATAGGGAAATATTGGAAACACCAATTTCTCAAGAAATAGTCTAGAAGCACCAACAAATTGAAACAATGACATTGTTTCAATAGAGACGACAGATAATAGAAACAATGATATTTATGGGGTTTTTTTATTTTAAATTATTGGAAAAGCAGATTGCTTGGGTTTGTGTCCATTTACTAGCTGATTCAGCAAGACTTTAAACTCTAGGCTTCTCTCATCTATAACATGAGGACAACAGAACCTAAACCCTGGGATTTTCATGAGGATTATAAGCATTAGTAGATGAAAATGGGTGGAACGGTGGATACGGCTTAGTAAATGTTCAAAAAAATGCCATGATCATTTTGAATGGACACAGAAGATGTGGTACATATATACAATGAAATATTACTCAGCCATGAAAAAGAATGAAATAATGCCATTTGCAGCAACATGGATGGGCCTAGAGATTATCACACTATGCAAAAAGCAAGTCAGAAAGAGAAAGACAAATACTATATGATATCACTTATATGTGGAACCTAAAAAGATGATACCAATAAGCTTATTTATAAAACAGAAACAGATTCACAGACATAGAAAACAAACATGCTTATCAAAGGGGAAACAGGTCAGGGGAGGGATAAATTAGGAGTATAGGATTAAGACATACATACCACTATACATAAAATAGATAAACAACAAGAATTTATTGTACACCACAGAGAACTACATTCAGTATCTTATTGTAACATGTAATAGAAAGAAATCTGAAAAAAAATATATGTATAACTGGATCACTTTGCTGTACATCCGAAACTAACACAATATTGTAAATCAACTGTATTTCGATTAAAAGAAATACCACCATCATTCTATAAGCCTGGGTCAGTAACACTGTCTTTTCTGCTGGAAATCTATTTATTTTCTATACACAAAAAGGGAAACTGACCAGCTCTAAAAGATATCCTCAGAGGGCTAAACTTAGAACATTTCTTAACAGTTCTTGACTTCTTAGCTGCTTCCTCCCTTGGCTGCCCCGTGCATGAGAACAGTGGCCCAGGGAGGGATGAAGCAACTGTTGTGATGGTCACAACTGCACATGAGGCCTGGCCTAGCCCACAGCCAGGCTGTGGATGGGAATCGAAAGTCAACAAAGCAGAAGGCAGCCGACAAGGCCAAAAGTCTCCTTCTCCCTTCTCTCTGCTTTTACCTCTACCCCTTCCTTTGCCACTTCAGGTCCCCACCGCAAGCCCCCAGGTTTAGGTCCCCCACCACTCAGATTTGCCTGTGGACATTTATCAGGAAGGAAAGGCAGCCTCGTTAGAAACAAGTGGTCCTTTGTACAAATCAGTCTGGAAGGGATAGACGAAGGCTAAAATGGGAGAGTGGGGAAAAAGTACATTCGGAAGAGTAAGACTAAAGGAAAAGGAAATATTACAAGAATGTCATTAAGTTTAAGGGGGACTCTGGCTGGTTCAGGGAATGAACAATCACTGGGCTGGATTTTCTCAGCCTTGATACAGTAACATATAGTGGCACTCCTTATGCCTGTCAATATAATATGTGATCAACAAGTCAAAGACATAAAATACCTCGCTCAGTTAATTCCTTGTTCTTTCGATACTAAAACACAGTCTACCTGGCTCTAAGACTGCTGGGCAACCTGAATGACAGCTCTTGTAAACCTAAGGTCATGTGAAGGTCAGAGTCAGGAAACCAGGAAGTACAGAACCAACAGGGATCTGGCATATACACTAAGCCCTTTTTTCCTTCTTAAAGATGTTTCTCTCTTACAAGAGGATAGAGTCCAATTGGGGAGCATAAGACCAACACTCAAAACTAATTATAGGCAGAAGAGGAAGATGTATTTCTGTACTTACTACCTATAAATACAAAGTCAGGGCTTGCCAAATAGTTTCTGTGAAAATAAAGGTTTTTAAGCATCAAATCTGTTGATTTGTCCCAGTCATCTCAGTATGTCGTCACTTAAACCAAGAAAATACCAGTGTAAAGAGCAGCTGTGTCAAAGTGACTAAGAGCTTTTGGTCTGTATTGAAGCTTCCCTATTTTCCTCAGCGTCTGTTTCGGTCTACTGTTAACATCACAGTGGTGTATTTGAACAAATCTAACCTCTCGTTATTAGAAGAAAACTGAAGCATAGGTGAGATCTAACCCTACTAGGCCACATCAGCTCAACTCACTGTGCCTAGTTCAGTGCCTGTCATACTGAAGCTGCTCCTTAAATGTTGGCTAAATGAATACATGAAAGGGTGGCTTCCTGAAACAACAGTCAGCTGTCACAGACTGGATATTTGGTTGAACATGTCTCCAAAGTTTTCATTCTCCATGAGACTTATAGATAAACATTTCCATGGCACTTTACTACTTATATGCCACCTGGGCTTCCCTAGTGGGTCAGACAGAAAACAGTCTGCCTGCAATGCAATGCAGGAGACCCTGGGTTTGAACCCTGGGTCGGGAAGATCCCCTGGAGAATGGAATGGCTACCCACTCCAGTATTCTTGCCTGGAGAATCCCATGGCCAGAGGAACCTGATGGGCTACGGTCTGTGGGGTCACAAAGGGTAAGACATGACTGAGCAACTAACACTTACTACTTTTATAGTGCTTTCACAGATAACTGTCCTAAAAGTTCCAGATTAAACAATAAAGTTTCATTGTAGCAAAATGTTTCCCAAGGGCCACAAACTCAGTAAATATCAGAGAATAGTTGCCTCAGTTATCCCGCTAGATGTGCTGTTTTCATGTCAAACATTTGAATCATAGGTCACAAGAAAGGGAATCCCTGAAAATTTAGCTCAGAAAGGACCATTGTTTCTGAAGAAGAGGTCGTGGCCACACAAGGAGTCTCTGTGAGACAATGCACACTAACGTAGCAGGATGCACAACCTAAATGTCATCGCGTGAAGGGGAAGCCAATCTGACTCTGGTTAATAGGTCAGACCCAGACATTTCTAGCCCAAGTGATGAGCTGGAAATCTCACAATTACAAGATTGGAAAGGCAATAGAAACAAAAGATGATGAACAGGAATGAACCCAAAGTTCAACTAGACCTGGAGAAAAAGAAGTCAGGAGAAAATTAGACCCTGTGTGAGGCAGAGACAAAGAAAGGTTTCCTGCTTGAGAGAAGAACCTTGGTTAAGCTCTACCACCATGAAAAGGAGGCTGAACAAAGCTGCTAAGGGTGACTATAGCTCATGGAAAGCTTGTACCCACAGGGGCAGAAGCACATGAATGCAGCCTCACGACCCAAGCTGCATACTGGCCCCCGGGGAAGGCATCCAAGCTGCCAGGCCTGGCTCTGTGCTGGAGGTCTTGAGTTGCAGAGCAGAGGCCACTGCCCAATTTGCACTGAGTTTCACCGAGAGGCCAAGGGAAGCAGGCAATCCACACTCCAGAACGCCACGGAAGTTTAATGATAAGAAAGACAACGAAACTGATAATCAGTACATGAATTCCCTCCAAACAAAATAAAAATAGAAAAGTGTTCAAAGACTAAAATAAAGAGTATTTTCAATCCTCTGGGAGAGAAATGTGATGTTCCTAAGAACAAGAAATTTGAAACAAAGGAAGAAAAGAAAAGATAGGCATGAAAATGAACTATTTGAAAATAAAAAATTAATTTTTAAAACTCAACAGAAAGAACACATTCTATACAGAACACAGACAACATTACTAAGGATAATATGAAGGAATTAAAAAATAACATAACAATGAAAAGAATTGAAAAAAATGTAGATACAGTAGATACATACACATATATATATGTATGAGTGAATCACTGCTGTATGCCTGAAACTAACATAATTGTAGATCAGTTGTACTTCAATTAAAAAATTAAACAAAAACATATTGTGATACAAAATCTGAAAGGGTGGTTAAGAAGCATGGAAGGTAAATCAAAAGACTCTAAAATGTGCCTAGCAGGAGTTTCAGATTATCCAGGGAATGATGAGAAAGGTATATTCACAGAGGTCAAGCTGATAATTACCCCAAACCGAAGAAAGTCACAAAAACTGAGGACACTGCAAATTCCCAGCAGGATAAATTTAGAAATGAATCCAAGCCTAATCAGACTGTGGTGAAACTAGATCAGTAAAGACAAAAGAACACCTTAAAAGCAACCAGGAAAAAGATGAATAATTGACCAAAATTGAAATACTGGGTTTTGAAAAGATCTCCAAATGGGAAATCCTCTAGAGAGAATTACCAAGAAAAAAAAAAGACAGAAAAAGTAGTACAAATGAAAATGGGGACATAAGCACAGCTTGTTAGAAAAGAAAAAGATGAAAATAGAATGTTTATTATCAACTTCGTGCAATAAATTTGAAAATTTCAAAACTTTACTAGCAAAAACATCATTCAATAAAGCTGGCTCAAGCAAAAAAACAAACAAACAAAAGCAGAAACCTTGAGCAGTCTTATAAAGAAACCAAAACCGAGTTTAGGAGTATTCACATCATAAAGAGCCCCAAGTCCAGGTGATTCAGATAGTGTTACAAGAATTCTGCCAGAGGACTAAAAGGGGAAGAGATTCCTCAGCTCATACTAAGAGCCTAGTAAATTCGATACCAAAACTAAAAAAGAAGATTAAAAAAAAAGATAGTCTGAGAGAAGAAAATTACAGGCCGTTCTATCTGCAAAATGAAGTTACCTTCAACAATTCTAAAGAAAATGCCAGCAGGCCAAATCTACAAGTATATAAAAAGTATAAATTATAACAACAATTTACATAATTATGTCATACTTATTATAATTATGTAAATTATGGATATATTATAGAAATGCAAGGGTGTTTTTACATTAGAAATCTTTAAATGTTATTCACCAAACTGACAGATTTTTAAAAATAAATGAGACCATTTCAACACTTACAGAAAAAAAATGTACCTGATACAAGATAATACACAAGCACTGTAAAAACGACTAGCAAACTTGGTATAGAAGGGAGCCTTCTTAACATGAAAAGTATATCCCTAGAGATAAGAAAGAGTTAAAAGAACTCCCTTTATGGTCAAGAGCAAAGTTAGGATGCCTACTAGTTTAGTTTCTATTCATCACTGTATTGTAGACCTTACCCAATATAGCAAAATAAGAGCTGAATATCATTCCTAATAGATAGTTACTATCTTCATGAGAAACTCAAAATAATCTATAGATAATTAGAAATTATATAGTCTGGCAAAGTGTTTGAGTATAATAACAGCATAGAAAAATTTATTTCACACATCTATGAATAAACCTCAAAACAATATTTTTAATAAAGTAACTATATAAGAAGAAAAATCATTTTACAAAGGAATAAATCTAATAAAAGATGCATAAGGTGTATCTGCATAAAAATATAGGGCCTTATTGAAACACAAAAAATAATTTAAAATTATCTAGTGAGATAGTCTTGTCAGTAAGAAAGCTCAATAGCATACAGATATCAGGTTCCTCAAATTGATCTATATAAAACCATGATACCTATCAAAACTCCAAAATTATAGAATTTGACAATCTGATTCTAAAATGTGCACAATTAAAGGGCCAAGAATAACCTAAAAATCTTGCCCAATCAGACACCAATATTTATTAAAAGGTAGAATAGCTGAGTCTGAGAGAAACAAATTAATCAATGGATAAGAATTAGAAGCCTATAAGATTCATTCATATATGGAACTAGTGTAAAAACAGAAGTTTCATTTCAGATCCACTGGGGAAAAGGAAAGACTGTATAAAATAAATGGTACTGGGAGAACTGAGTTTCCAGAGAGAAAAAATAAAATAAAATTGGAATCCTATCTTACACTACATAAAAAATTAACTTTAAGTGAATTCAAGGCTTCAATATTAAAAAAAAACACTTTAAACTTTTAGAAGAAAATATAGAAAATGCAAATTACCTACAAAAGATAAACAATTAGGAGAGTCCTCATAAACAAAATATCAAAGAACTATACAATCAAAGAGCTAAGGAGACAAAACATCAGCTTAGAATAATCCAATTACCTATAAAACTCTTTCAATAGCAACAGTGAAACAAATATTTTTCAATAAAGATCCACCCACCCTCACTAAAAGAAACACTATGGTAAGAAGGAAAGTAACCCAAAACTAAAGAACAGAATATAAGAAACGGGGCAAGCCCATCAGTTCACAGGTTGGTATACTTGCTCATTACCAGCTGTTAGGAATAAAAACCTGTCTTTTTTATTTTAAAAATTGATAGAATTTTCTAAAGTAAGCAATAATAAAGAAGATGGAGTCTTAAATGGACGTTTAAAGATGTTAAGATTCGTGATGTTCTGGGAGAGGATGGAGGTGTTGAAAATGTTCTAGGTTAGAAAAACAATAAAGTATGTATATTAAAACTTTAAAAGAAAATGTTCAAAGCACAGAAAATGCTTATAAACGTGCAAATATGTGTCGTGCAAGAGAGTTCTTTATTCCGTGAAACATAAACCTATTTTTCACTTATGTTTTAAATACTATTACTAGCTTGTATTCTACATTTCTTTCTTTCTTTTTTTTTTTTTACAAAAGGCTGAAACAGCCAATTTTACTTTTTCAAAAAAGATTTTCACTAAGACTCTCTTCTGCAGAAGCAAATTAACTTTTGACAGTTTTAAAAAACCTAAAAATAATATGATGAGCTATTTACTCCTTACAAAACTTTAATGATAAAATGTTAGAGACACTTCTTTTAACTTGAAAACTAACACTCACTATTTGCAATATCCTGAAGGTCCTAACCAATATTATAAGAGAAGAAAAAAATAAACCAGTTGAACAATTGGGAGTAAAGGGGCAAACTTTTATTATGTGCAGATAATATGTTTACATAAAAAATCCAAGGGAATCTGCAAACATATAGCTAAAATAAAGGGAGTTCAGCAAGACTCTTGGATCTAAAACTTTACATAAATATCAATAGCAATAAGCATTTGAAAAATTAAAAGACCACATTAATTACAGCAAGAAAAATTTAGAAATAATTATATTTATTAATTAAAACTACAATTTAAATTTATTTATTATATAGGAATAAATCTATCAGTGTATATGTAATGTACATTATATAATATATAATGTATAATCAGTGTAAATATAAAATGGATGAAGAAAATACAGAATGTTTTTGAAGTACATAAAAAACTTGAATGGAAAGACACAGACCCTGTGTTTGAAGTAAGGAAAGCAAAAATCATAAAAATGTTCATTGATCTTATTTATTCTATAAAGACAATTCAGTTCTTATCACAATCTAACAGAGGATATTTTTTTCAAGGAATTTTATAAATTGATTCAAAAGATCAGAGGGATAAGCAAAATGACAAGAATATAAAACTAATGTTGACAAAGAAGAAAACAGGGCTTGTTGATAAATCAGATGTGGGAGAAAGGAGGAATACAAGATAAAACAGAAATATGGTAACTCTACTCTCTTGGGCCAAATAATTAAGATGCACATGAGTGAGGACCTAGATTTCATGGCCTGCCAGAACTTCCTCATTCTAGGAAACAGATTTTTAAGGCCCTCAAAGAGCCCAGAGAATTTTCACTGAACATCCTACATTGTGCAGTATCTCCTGAAAACTTCAATTTCTTCTCAAAAGTTGACAGTGTATTTGCCAGCAAAAGTAGATTCAAGGACATCCACAGGAGTAGAGCAACTTGATCTTTGTAATAAGAAGGAGGCAAAATGGAAGGACAACAGAAAACAAAAATCCTAGGCCTTCCTGCACACACATACAGCACTTAGGAAAATTGACAGCTCCTCCATCTTTGTTTTTTCCCAAACAGAATGTAAATCAAGAGAGATCACAGGTGCATTAGTGAAAACTTCTTCAGGTGATGTGCTTTCCTGTTGCCTTTCTGAGCCCCATAGACAGAAGGAGGAAGGAAGGAAGTGATTTGCCCTGGTTTGTAGAATTTAATATTCCTGCAAAGGTAATTGTATGGCTCTTGATAATTCAGCAGTTTAGACTCATCACGACATTTCATCTTCAAGGGCTATCTCAATTCTTCAAATAGATCTTTATTCTTCCACTCACACATTCAAGGATGAAAAATTTGCCTCACTGTATTAAATTAAATTACCTTTAAAACTTGCAGCTTTGCCTCAAGCTCTGTTCTTTTGAGAATCATTGTTCCATTAAGAGTCTCTATCCTGTTTTAAGAAAAAAAGGAGGGGGGCAGGAAATAACATGAGTGATTCTCTCAAACAAGCACCATCCCTTACAGAGTACTACACTTTGAGCACAGACTGTCCTCAAAAGGAACATAAATGTCACCATTCTCATGGCACTTCAAGTATCTGGACCTAAGCCAAACCTTCTGACAACATTCAAAGAAAGAATATAGGGAAAAAAAAAATACACCCTTTGAGAGGGTGACTAGAAGAAAAGACTCTGGTTTATTTGTAAACTGTAGATCATTTTATAGAAGCCACTCTAGGGCAATGATGGTTGTTCTCTACTAGAACGTGTTGTGTGGTCTGGCTGAACCACCTCTCATTTGGTGAATATTCATTGGGCATCTACTATGAGCCAGACTCTAGACATCATGCTAAGCGTGAGGAATACAGCAATTGAAAACTCGCATTAGGGACTTTCAAACAATGAAATCAAAACACTACTTCTTAAAATGGGAAAATCTTTTCTTCCTTAAGATTCTAGAAAATTTTACCTCCGTAAATTGCCCGAACCTTAGAACTAGAACAAATTGGATCAGAACTACTGAGATATTAACTCTCAAATGACTCATCTCAAAACTTTTAAGTGTACAAACTTTAATCCTAGAATTATCAATTTAATGGTGTTCTTTCTCCCTATACCAAATGCCTTTCTGAAAATAAAGAGACTTGTTCTATTCTGAGTGATTTATTTGTTTTGTGGGCTCAAGTTAGAAGCCTTTATTTTGACTACTAAAGCATCATTCTGAATAAGATAAATACGACATATGAGTTACAAAACTAAGCATCTTTTTAAGGATTGTTTCAAACTCATTCTGATAAATAAGCTGTAACTCTATAAAGACGCAAGAAATTTGTCAAGGTAAAATAATATTAAATACAGTCTTTGGGTATAATGCTGTTTCCAATAGCACTATACCCAAGACAATGAGATGATAGCAAGCCAACACATCAGCTTTCTCATTATAGGCTCTTGACTCTAGATGATAGGGAGGATCCATGTGAATCTGTTTGGCACCTTACTGTTGATCTGATCTACCCAAGCAACAGATATCTGTGGGAAGAACTGTAGGCATAGATTGGCCACTGTCTTCAGTATTTGTACAAATTGTCTCTCATTTCCCTGACCTCTGGATTTCCACTTGTCTCCACCCACTACTTTTTAAGTATACACCTGAGGTCTGCCCACTTCACCCATTTGGAATACAGGTTTCTGATTCTAACCACCAGCATGTTCCCTTGAACATGTTCCTACCTCATAGATTGAAATTTCTCTGGAGCTAGAGTGGCCCTCATCCTTTATCCTGAACTCATAGGAACCATAGAGTTAGACACAGTCCTCTTCCACCACAAGTCATCTTTCGAAATTACTCTCACACAACTCCCCCCGCCAAAAAAAAGCATCCTTTGAAGTTTTAGACTAGAATCACAAAAGAGTGTCCAGGGAATTTTTTTATTGGCAGCTTGCAATGAACAGCTGTGGGATAGCTCGAGAAAGGATCCTGGTATCCAGAGCAGATGGTCAGATCCCAGTGCGGGCACTTAATAGGTGGTTGGTTTTAACTAAACCTCGTTTCAGCCTGAGTCACTTCGTTTATAAATAGGAATAAAATCAACTTCACGAGATGACTATAGAGAATAAAAGATAATCAGAATAAATTCTAAACTATTAAACCTGACCGGTGAAACCCATGCTTTGCGTCCTGGAGAACACTCTGTCTTCATTTCTTACTCTATTCTTAATTCACCAGCCACCAATTAATTATACTGCCTATCTCTCTATCCCTTGAACATGCCAAGCCTACTTTGATAACTCAAACCTCTCTTTTTCACCTGAAATGTTCTCACCAGGAGTTCATCAAACCATCCCTTCTCATCATTTCACTCTCAGCTCAAAATTCACCTTCTCAGAAAGGACCACTTTTAACACTTAAACTAAAAATGCAGCCCTCTCCCTCAGTGTTTTATCCCATTCCTTTTTCTACTTTCTCCATAAAAGTTATCATAATTTAAATATCAAAGTTACTTATTTTTGTGGGCTTTTCTTACCTATCTCTTTCCATAATTAATAAAGCAATAGAAGAGTCTTTGTCTCCCTGAACCTGTCACAGAGCTGGAAATATAGTATTTGCTCAATAAATATTATTTTAATGAATGGGTGAATTCTATCTTTGTCTTATTAGGGTCTAAGGGTGGAAACATCAGTTGAATCTCTATTGGGGAAATGCACATCCCATTAGTAAATTGGGAATAGTAGCAGAGTCAGTGTATGTGTTGCAGGGCAGGAGGGCTGAGCAGACTCTTCTTTCAGACAGAACACTAGGAGAGAAAAACAACTGGCTGGTGGTACAAGAAGAAAAAGCTCAGCCCTTTTGAACTTTCATTTGCTCTAACCACAGGATTATGTCAACCACGGAAACTGGATCCATTCCTCTCTGTCTAAAGAGAATGTGGGCCAGTTTAATTGAATTTGAATCAAAAAAATTTTTTTAATGTTATCCTTCCCACGCAGACGTTTGGGCTACTGATGCCCTCTGACTTCAGATGTTGACAACATGTTCAAGTTTAAGGAAACCTTGAGAAACAAAAGGAACTGATAGAAATGTCTGTACCCAGTCCCCAAGCTATGGCTCGCTGCCTCCCTTCCTGTGATCCTGAACAAAAAGCCTATTCATTCACTCTACAGGCATTATGAGAGACCGTAACAACTTTTTAAGCCCCACAGGAAGCAGCCAGATAGTTACGTTAACAGGTTTCCTGACGATCTGATCAGGTCAACAACTTGTTTGTGGGTAAAGCCTTCTGTGCTCACACCATTAATGTTTGCAAGGACATCACCTGGGAGATGCCAAGAAAAACAAGTGTTAAAATGGTTGGTTAAATAATCTTTCCTGACCCACAAATGAAACAAAACACACAAGCCCCAAACCTTGGCAACATAAAGGAGTTGAGGAAATTCAAAGCAACAATCACATCCTGACCTTCACCAGCAAAAAAAAAAAAAAAAAACATTTCTTGCTATTTAAATAATCCCAAACATGAGCATAGTTCTGATTTACCAGCTTGCAGGCCAGCACAGTGTGCTGGGCTGTCCTCCTGGATTTTGCAGATCAGGGTGCATATATCTGCGGAGCAGGTGTTCTGGTTTGAGAGCCTGTAAGTCTGTAAAATGAGGAAGATACATAATTACTATTAAAAAACTCAAAAATCTATTTGTCAAAAAAATTAAGCAGTATCAATTACCTTACATAACATAAGTACAAATAACAATTTGGGAAGCTTTTCTGAGTATAAACTGAATCTGAGGACCAATCTGACACTTCCACACATTCTGTAGCTGACCCCATTCATTTAAAAAAAAAAAAAAAAATCTAGGGCTTCCCTGGTGGCTCAGTGGTAAAGAACCTGCCTGCCAATGCAGGAGACACAATGTTGGATCCCTAGTCCAGTACCCGCATGCCAGGGGGCAACTAAGCCCATGTGCCACAACTACTGAGCCTGAGAGTCACAACTACTGAAGCCCACACGCTCTAGAGCCTGTGCTTTTTTAAAAGAGAAGCCACTGCAATGAGAAGCCCACTCACTGCAACTGGAGAGGAGTCCCCACTCACTACAACTAGAGAAAAGCAACACAGCAACAAAGAACCAGCACAACCAAACAGTAAATAAATAAATGTTAAAAGAAAACACATCTGGCTTAAGAAAGCAAGTAGTGTAAGACTGGTTTAAGATTTAAGACTTTCATGCCTAAGAGACCACTTGATGCTATTGTATATTTAACAAGAAAAATTCAGTTTCTCTTTCCCCAGTAGGATAAAACAACAGTAGCCAAGAGCAGAGAGAAAAATCTCTATGTGGTTCTCCCAAGCTAAAGCACTCATTACAGGAGCATATGAAACATTACACATTCAGCAAGGGAGATATGCCAACAATAATTATATTAAATCAGAGTTCTGCAAATAATGACAATCTGCCCTTCATTAATTCGAAAGCATTATAATTGACTCAATTATCTTCATTCCTGAATGCTCGTTGGTACACCTGCCCTGAATACTCACCAATTCATTAGCCACTCGACTAAGAGAGAAAAAGTTATGCTTCACCTCTTGTCTCAATTTGGCAAAAGCAACTTGGTTTTGTTTTTCCTTTCGATTTGTGCCAAGAACACAGCATCAGTGTTTGATGAATAGAGTGGCCCAGTGATCTATATTCTTCTTTTTCACATATTTAAGTTATGAGGCCTAGTTCCATTTAGAGTCAAAATCAGCATTCTGAGTTGAGTAGGTCTTCCTAATATCTGTTTCCTAAAATTAAACCACATTCCAGTACTGAGTCCTTGTGGAAAAACTAATGTCCGATGTCCATTCCTTTCTATTTTAGACATACAATTTCCAGAACCAGCAGAACCAGAAGTCAATCAATGCAAAAAACTTCTAGAAACTTGACTTTGTTAACCTTGAAGGGAATTCTATTCACTTTGAATGGCTTTTAGAATTGCCATATCTTAAAGGCAGATGAGACTTTTAGAGATCATGTAATCTACTTTCAAGACCCTGATGCTAGGAAAGATTGAAGGCAGGAGGAGAAGGGGACAACAGAGGATGAGATGGTTGGATGGCGTCACTGACTCGACGGACATGAGTTTGAGCAAGCTACAGGAGTTGGTGATGGACAGGGAGGCCTGACATGCTGCAGTCTATGGAGTCGCAAAGAGTCGAACATGACTGGGCCACTGAACTGAACTAAACTGAACTGAATGACTTTCCATCAATATCAGAGATTCCTTTAACAAATTTATTTCTGCCAGGGAATTTTTTGCCACTGCCCAGGCCCTTCCAGAAATGAAGCATGGTCTGGTTCATGCAACACATGAACCAAAGCTATAAGAGAACTTCCTTTGGGAAACCGCTGTTATAATGATTCTCATTAGCAGTGAGAATTTACGCTCCATGTCCAGGAAGCAAAGTAAGTACAGTGAAGGGGAAACATTAATTGATGTAGCATGCACTTGCGTATATGTTTGCCACAGGTGTAAAATTTGTGGTTAGAGATAGGCAGAGGTCCCAAAGCTTTAGAAAGAACTAATCAGTTGGATATTTTTCTTTTGTTCAGTCATTTCCTAGAGACACAAAAGTACACTACTTTCTCATACCCAATAGCCTTGATTCTACCTTGTCATTTGCTGACCTTCTATTGGAACCAGGCACATTACTAAGTACTTCACATATGTTATCTCATTTGAAATGCCTAAGAGCCTACTAAAGTAGCACTGAAAGAACACAAATTCAGTTGTAAATGAATCTAAGGTCTGTGTTCTGGTCTTGCTACATTACTCTCCATATCAGCAAAACGCTAACATCCATGGAAACCAGAGGACTTGGACTTGTTCTCTCCCAGCATGCCCTGTGCCCCACTGACCAGGACCCAGATACATGTCCTGGAGGCACAATAAGGGTATATGAGGTTCTACTTGGCCTTTAAAATGTTCTCAGGGCATGCCCCCTATTTGACAATCACTATAAACCTTGTGAGTACTAGGTAACAGGTAATGCATAGAGCTAGTAATGGAAAGCATACACCCATAGGGAATTTGCAGAGGAATGGACCCTTGCATCACTAAAATAACATGCTACAGTCCAGAGGTGAAGCCATTATTCATGTAAATCCACAAAGGTTCAGGCCACTATAACCTGCTGTCTACTAATGACAAGTTTTTTTCTTGCTCCATGTAGTGTTTATGGTATGAAGGAGAAATGTGGGGGAAGCAGTGATATGTCTATAGAAAGATGAGAAGAGAGTCTCCTTGGTCACATTAAGTAAGGATAAATGAGTAGTCTGTTCCTGTTTTCAGTAGCAATCACTGCACATCCTTGGGCATAATTCTCATTTGAAAAGAAGTGGTCACAAAAAGCACAGTGTCTCTACAATACAGAATAGGGAGTGTTTCATGACAATGAAGAATAAGAGAGAGTACTATGCTTCTGAAGCCCAATGAAAAAATTAGAGATTTCACCAAATTCAAAAGTAGAATTCAGATAGGAGAAGGTCTCTTCTTTTCTCTGAGAGCCTTCTCCCTGCTCATTGCAGCTAAAGTTCCATTTTGTTTACTATTAAAATGCGTCTTATAGAGCAGCTTCCTGTTCCTAATCTTAAAACACTGAGTTTCCAATTGTTGCGCTGATAATTAGTCACCAAAGTTTTCTGAAGCCAGCACCAAAGTTAAGATATAAAAACTGATGTTTGGCATGAGGATATGATTATGCAGAATGCTTCTAAAAGAAATGCAAAAGTGTAATGGAAAAAGAACACAGTAATACTTAAACTACTTCTGTTGTGCTTAATTAGACAAGCCTTTGTTTGACCTAATGCATTATATTTACAAATATAGCGATGAAGAAGCAGACAGCAAATAAGAAATTAAATTCTTAGGCTATTAAATAGAAATCCATAAAGACTTAAAATTTCCAACAGCATGAGGCAATACACGCATAGAGCCAAATATTCTTAAGTATTTTCAAATAATAGTTATAAAATGTTATCACCAAGGAAGAGTACAAACTTCTCATAAAGTCCAATATGAAAGCTTTAGTATTTTCAAATGTAATAGTAACTATAAATGAATAGATGCAATCCATATACACAAATGCATTTCTTTCAAGTATCTCTGAATACTCAAGTGTAGACAAAATCTGATGCACAGTATAAGAAATTATTATGCAAAACCCATCACTAATGCAAATATATAAGATTCACCTATAAAGAGGTGTCATTCTCTTATTTATGAGCTGACTGACAGCAAGAGTTTCTGATCAGTCTCAGACCGACGAGAAGAATAAAGCAAAGAGAAACAAGAAGTTGAGTAAATCTCAGGGTGATTATTTTATCTGCTTGAACGTTTTCTTTCCTTGATGGTACCCAACACACTGAAAAACTACCAAAAACAGCCACACATAGAGCACAAGTCACAGCCTCTATCAATCCCTAAGCCCGACTTCATTCTTTCTTTGTAAATATCATGACATTGCCAGTGCCACTTTCTTAATTAAAAGTCTGGAAAATTTGAAAACTGCCCACCTGAATTTCAAATCCAAATGTTCCATTATCTTGTTTTTCCACAGTAACAAGCTTTCTGTTAAAAAAAAAAAAAGCTAGGAATGAAGATCAAAGTATCACATTTGGCACATACCTATCATTAAAAATAACTGTCAATAAAAAATAGCTGATGTTTGTATAAATTGTAATATATATGACTGTGTCTGTGTCTGTGTCTGTGTGTGTGTGTGTGTGTGTGTGTGTATGAGATATCAACAGCCTGGAAAGCTGTGTTCCTAAACATCTTGGTGAGACACCAAAAAATAAATGAAATTCTTTACCTTTGAGACCAGGAAAAGTCACCCACAGAACTCGATCTTGTCAGAGCAAGCTGAAAAATACAAGTACACAGTTATTGAAAGACCCTTAAGACATATCTGTAAAATGTTCTAAATCACAAAGGACTCTTCTTTGGCCCCACTCCTGGGAAATTGTTACAGAAAGGCAGTGATTTCCATTCTCCAGTGATAGAAAAGGAGAGCTGGGAAAGGAACCATTCAGGTATTTCATCAGAAAGATTAAAAGAGGCTTCGATAATAACACCCTATGGCAAGAGTTAATGTAATGTGGCAAAATTCCAAAGCTTCCAAAAAGAACTTCATATCTAATCTGTATCTAAAATAGCCTCTGAAAGTTTAACCACAACAGTTTATAATCACACTGAAATCCAAAGAAAAAATAACACCCATAGAATGGCATATAAAACCCAAATAGTTGATAGTTTGGGGAGATGCTGTTGAAATGACTGTTTATTCTAATAGTTCAATATGTTACTGTTTTTAGAAGGATAAAATCATCTAATACCTAGAAGCATAATTTGGGTAAAATGAGGGACTCAAAACCTCAATTACTTTTATGATTTATTTTTGCAATCATTTTAAAAGAGTACAGTGAGATTTCAGCCCAGAAAGGAAAGGAACTTCAGAATGGCATAAATGTTGTAAATGACATAACCTTTTGCTTCCCTGGTGGTTCAGATGGTAAAGAATCTGCCTGCAATGTGGGAGACCGGGGTTTGATCCCTGGGTCGGGAAGATCCCCTGGAGATGAGAATGACAACCCACTCTGGTATTCTTCCCTGGAGATGAGCCTGGCAGGCTATAGTCCACGGGGTTGCAAAGAGTCAGACAGGACTGAGCAACTAACACTGTCACTTTACTCCTCTGCATGTTTTGGGAAGAGATCATTTAGAGATAAGCTTCTAGGATACAGTCTATCATTATAAATAAAGGAAAAGTTGCTGAAAGGTGTCACCTTTTTTTTTAAGGTAATTATAGTGAGTTTTGTGTGTTTTGTGTTGGTTCTTTGCTTAGGCATTAACAAATGTTAATCAGCTCTTTCTCAAGTGTTGGTCCAGGGTTCCAAAACAGAAGTTCATGCTATTGGTTAGTCCAAGGTGTTTATTTAAGTGGCAGCCTATTATGCTTTTTATATATCAGTGACTACAGAAAATATCAGGAGGTAATGCAAGAGTCCAAACAAATAAAAGTAAAGTAGAAGATAACAGCCAAAAGGAGAAAAGTATGCAGAAGAAATTAATGCACAAATGAAATCTTCATTAAGGCATTTGTTAGAGAAGCTACATCACTGTAAGGAATTTGAATTACCAAGTACAAAATGCCAGCATTCTCACAACTTTTCTTGAATGGTTCAGAGTTCAGAATTTGGCCACTGGTCAGTATTGTTAACCCAATGAAAAACTGACGTCTTCCTACAATAATAATAAATGTATTATACTTTCCTCTTTTATTAGCTCTGGACTGCAAATCATTTATATCCTCTTGAAGACTACAGCAAGAGAAGGCTCAGAACCGAAAAGAAAAAAAAAAAAACACACTTCTCTATATTTGCTTAAAAGAAGACCCTAATGGTGGGAAAGATTGAAGGCAAAAGGAGAAGAAGGGAGCAGAGGATGATATGGTTAGATAGCAACACTGACTCAATGGACATGAATCGGAGCAAACTCCAGGAGACAGTGAAGGACAGGGAAGCCTGGCATACTGCCATCCATGGGGTCGCAAAAAGAATCAGACACGACTTAGCGAGTGAACAACAATCTATTTTTAATTTATAAGGACTAACTGCGGAAGGCCTATTACAGTTTGTATGGTTTGTTTCAGCCTGATTTTGTCCTGATAAGTGCCATTAACAAGGGTGGGGACCATTCAGCTATGCAGTGGGCTGCCTTCTTGTGGAAGAGAGCAATAAACTTGATATGCCCAAGCATTCTCAACCTCTCAACTATACTATACTCATATTTTTTTATTTTCATTATTTCCATTTGCTTGGCTTTTATCCTTATTTTGGATGTAAAGTACTTAGGTAGGTCATATCATGCTATCTGTAAATCATAACTAGCCTTTATATTTAAAAATATTACTCTTGCTATCAATACTCATCAGATTATGCATATATTTATATATGTGGAAGCATATATGTGTACTTATATGAAGGGCAGATGGGATTAAACACCTCACTTCTGTTCATAATTACTTGTAGCCTTTGGGCCTCTTGAGGGATGTATTCATTTTATTTCTACCCCAACACCTAGCACAGGGTTTGGAATAGAATGGAACCATATAAACAGCTAAACAGAAAAACAAAAGTAAACTACTAAATAACAATACAAGCAAGTAAGTGGTAGTGGGAGATGCAAAGATTTATATGAGTCTTCAACTCTGTCCATTAAATTAAATATTCATAGGAAAAGCTCAAGGGTAGACTTTTAAAAATATAAAATAAAATTTTAATGAAAGAAAACAAACAAGGATTAAAAGAAAAACTGACTTCTAAAACAGCAAGAACCATAGCAAAAGTACTAATAGAAAACAAAATCAGTCAAACTCTAGCTAATTGACCTGATTAAAACAGAAATATTTGCCTAGAACAATATGAGATGCAGAGCAGATACTCAGCTCTTGTGGACTGACATGGGTCATCAGTGAAACAAAGAAAAAAATCAGACTAAATCAAATTATGAATTAGTTTCCACTCTGGATCAGCAATGAGCCTATCATAGACACCTGACATTAAATACACAACTGCTAAATGAATGAATAGTTCATTTTCATTCATTTAGCAGGAATTAATGAATTCTTAAAGTTTTGAGAATTTTTCCTCATCAATTTTAAATACACATTTGCTAAGCAAATAATCATAGCATTGATGAGAATCTCAAGATTTCTTCTCATCCTCCATTAACCTGCCTTCTAAATTAAAAAAAAATCATTCTATATAGATTCAAATACAAAATTAAGTCCACAAGACAAATCCAAGATGTCTGTAGAAAAGGAAATTTCCCCACCTCTCTTGGGCTAACAGTTCTACTCTAGCTAATTGACTAGATTAAAATGGAATTTTCTACCTAGCACAAATGAGATGCATAGAAGAAACTCAGTTCTTGTGGACTGACTCGGGTTCAGTGAGAAAAAGAAAAAAATCAGACTAAATCAAATTATAAATTAATTTCCACTCTGGATCAGCAATGAGCCTGTCATAGGCACCTAACATTTAAGTTAAAAAAAAAAATTTTAAATAAATGAGGCACCATCAAATTCTCTGACACATGCCACATCTAGACACAGTGCCTACTTGTTTTTGATCCTGTTTTTGATCAGACTCAGGCAATGTAGAATGTTCTTAGGGTTCAACCAAAGGAATGTTCTTAGGGTTCGACCAAACTATCTGTCTACATGAAAAGAAGTATGTCTGAGGTCTTATCAAAAATCTTACACTTTAGAACGAGTTTTGTCTGCAGCCTCTCCCTGGAGTGAGCAGCCTTCTTCTAGAATCTGACCAGCGGAGTCTCTGCTCCCTAGACCGCCCTCCCAACCCGAGTCTTTTCTCAGGGCTGGAGGGATAACACCAAAACTCTTTAATGAGGAACTGGTATGCAACAAACAGCATATGCTGGCAACAGCTGTCTTTTATTACACATTATCTAATATGAGAAATCTAGGTTTAGCAATTTGGCAGGGCTGCAAACTACACATTCAATTATGTCTCCTGAGAAGACAAAGCTCCTTAACCCCTTGCTAGCCTCTGATCCCTGAGTTGGGAAGCTCCTCTGGAGAAGGGAATGGCTACCCACTCCAGTATTCTTGCCTGGAGAATTCCATGGACAGAGGAGCCTAGTGGACTACAGTCCATGGGGTCACAAAGAGTCGGAAACAACTGAGCAACTAATGCTTTTCACTTTTTTTCAGCTTCTAATATAAAGATGCCTGGGGTTTGGGCTGAGGATCCCAACTCTTGTGTTTTTAGTCAGGTGATTTAAAAGCTTACCAAAAAAATGCAACATAATTTTTGTTGCTATGAGATGAGTCACAATGTCCTTCTTTAGTGGGAAACAAGACCAAATATTTCAACTGTCAGTTTGCGAAAAATAGGAAAAATCTGTAGCAGAGCCAGATAGTCAGCCCTGCAGAGGAGCTTGTAGTTTCATACTGTAGCCACTTCTGCTGCTAAGTAACAGCCTGCTACTTCCTCTCCTCACTGTGTACTCATTTCCTGAAAGTGTCAAAAGTGGGGGAAGGGGCAGACACCTATTCACAGATGAGATATTTTTGTTTTTGTTGTTTGTTTCAAAAGTCCACAAATTATGTGTTCTGCTCCCTTTCCAGTACCCTCCCTCATCCTCCCAATTCTTCCATGAACACAGGTTTTTTCCCCTTTTTGAGTCAGGAGGCTTAGAATAACACGGTTCTGCAGAAATATTCTAAGATTAACAAAATAATGGAGCTGAACTCAATTTCTTAACTATAAATGCTCTTAAGGAATGTAAATACTGTACAACGTTGCAGCTTCTCAAGAAATTCTTATTGTGGGCTCATGAATCTCTTTCAAGAAAAATTTTTGGATATATTCACTAAGCACACCACAATATGGATTAGAGACTACTTATCAAATTCTTTTGTAATGAAGTTAACAGTTTTCTACTAAAAGTATTCATTAAATGATCAAAATATCTTGTTATCATCAAGAACACTTAGGAATTTTGGTGACGGGTGAGTGTGTGGCCAGAAATAAAATAAAAGCTCCTGAAGGGCAGAACCCATCTCAGAAATACATACAAAGTCAGCACAATATTCTATATCTGACTTATACCTGAAATCACCCTTTCAGAAGTTGTCTATTTAGTAATAATTTGATAACCAAAGAAAACCAAACAAAGAAAAACAGTGTGTGGTTTCACGAATGCATATTCAGTCTTCCCCTCTGTTTGTCAGTTTTTCACTAGAGCATTCAGTGAAAACTACTTTCCAAGGGTGACCTACTGCCCTTGGGAAAATGGGTGTAAGGCCCATAGCTACTGTTTTAGTATCACAACATTCATCAAGATAACGTTACTTCATACCACCTCCTTCCTACAGCATTTTCCATTGAAGGGATTTTTTTCCCTAAAACTGTGTTCAAAACTAGGAGACCTCACTGGGCGTATATCACCTCCTACAAATACAGGTATTGAGATAATACAAACACAGAGAAATCTATTTTTAAATAATGTTGAGTGCAAACACCCAAATGACTCTGAAGATTAATCTGAAACTACGGGCTAACCAGATACAGCTTTGCAGAAACCAAAGCCAATGATAACAAGAAGTATGAATTGTTGACGTCAGCACTGAAAGGGTTGAAAATAACAGTGGGCAGAAAACACCTGCTTGTGGGATTGCTTCACAGGGATCTTGTTGCCTGCAATTCAGTCAGTGCCAAATGAATAGTTATTCTCTAAAGACCAGTTAAAGCAAATGAACATCCATTTGGAAAATTCTGAACGGTTGGAATAAACTTGCATCAAGTCTCATTGATGATAATTGTACAGAATCAAATATATCATATACAAATGTTTTGTTTTGCTTTTTATTTTACTTAAGTAAATTTGACAACAGTAACAAAAAGCCATTTGAATAGGAGGAGTCTCACCATGGGAAAGAATATGAGGAAAGGGAGAAGAAAAGACCTACAAAAGATGTGAACATATTAGTAAAATAATTGGTGTGGAAGTGTGTGTGTATGTGTAAATAGATATACAGATTACACACACACACACACATATCTGTATCTCATATACCTAAATTGTTCTCATCTTCTCCCATAGACTCCCTGATTGCTTCATTTCAGTTCACGCTTTCTTCACTCAGGCTTCAAACCAAATGTGGCTCCCTCTTCTCTGCTTTTCACAGCCAAGTCTTTATGTCTCTTCTCCATTCCTTCAGTTCCTCTTTCTCCAACTACTGCAAAAATTGCTCCCTCACCACTAGTCTCTAGCCACTTACCAACAAGCAAGTTTCCAGAGTAAGGTTCCTAAGACTTTGTATTCAGTCATGCTCAGTTGGTTCCCTGGGTGCTGGTCAGATTACTACTTCCTCAGGTCCAAATCTTATGAAAAGCAGCCCAGCTCTGAGGTCTCCTCTCCTCTCCCACACAGACACTCATCAGGGCTATCTATGTACTATTACCTACACTGCCCTAAGGGCCCCAAGATCTGTACCTCAGCTTTTTAATTATTCCTTTGCTCTGGAATACCCTTCAATATACAGTACATCTATCCTTCAAGATTGTATTCAAAGACATGTACTTGGGTTAGAGCATGTATGTTACTTTATATTGTATAACACCTACTTGTTCTGTCTACTCAATCATAAACCCTGTAAGGCCAGGAAATTGTCCTTCTCATCTTTATACACCCTACACTGATATACACCTGAAAAGTGAATAAAGGTTTTGGTACTTCCCACAGGGGCTTTATTTTCAGAAAATAACTCGATAGGAATGTTTTTTTTATTAAACCTAATGTCATAAAGGCACTTTGGAATTGAAAAAGATCAATCATCCAAACCAGAACAAATTATTCCCTTATCTCTTTTGAAAAATACCAAAGAATCCGCTATGAGCATCACTAAAAAAAGATCATGACTCTTCCACTATGCTATAACTCTGTAATCCTGAAATTAGAAGGCTTAAGAGGAACATACAATGTGCATGCAAGATTTAAGGGCAAAAATTCATGCTTTAAAACAATTCTAAATATTTTTGCATTCAGATGTGTATGTGGGACATTATAGCAAGCTGACGAACCAAAATCTGAAGCGATTGTTTTGGTTTAATTCTGTTTTAAAAGTTGAAAATTGAAAAACAAATCCAGTTGGACATGGATTTTCCCAAATAAGTTTTCCTCTCTAGGGAAATACTTTGCAATCAAAATTAAAATAATAACATAATTACTGAGTTATTGAGCACATACTGCATATCAGTCATTCTGTTAAACACCATGCATTTCTTCACTTACACCACAGAAGAGCCCCACAGGATGGTTCTAATATTATCTTCATTTCAGAAAAAAGCAAACTGAATCTTAGAGAAGAAAATGACTTATTCAAGATTCCACAGCTACTAAGTGGCAGATCTTCCACTCATTTATTCAATAAAAGTCTTAATTCCCAATAGTGTGAGGTACATGTTAGTGCCCAGAATTAAAGATAATGTTGTCAATAAAACTTGCACTAAAAAATATGTCTTCTCCCTGGATTATGAACTGACATGACTATTAGAGACTGGGAGAGAGCCTGGGCGGGAAGGACTCCTTCCCAATGGGAGACATATAGGAAAAAGGAGCAATAATTCTCAAACTGGTTGTGTCTACAATATACACCATCTTCAAGCTGATATGCTTGATGATTTTTATTTTATCAGAATGCCTCTTGTAGTGAGAAAATAATATTCTTTCAGGTTTGCCTTAAAAATGTTTTCTTATGGTCTTAAATCTTGAATTAAGACTTAATGACTAGAGTGTGAGTTTTCTGGGCTCCTTGCCTCTTTCTTCACTCATACTCTGAGCCACTAATGTCAAAGGATCTGAAATAACATTTTTAACATGCAGTCAGACAAATATATCACTCTGCTCTCAAGAGAACAAGAACACTGTAAAAGGTTAAAAATAGCACTCATACCTGCTTTCTTCCCCGAGGCAAAGTAGCCACAGTATCTGCCAGCATTTGAAGCCTTCTGTTATCATCATCCATGGTAAAATTGCCTGTAAGTGTGGAGTAAGAGCTATGCCCTGGACCAGCACAGTACTCCATGAAATTGCCATTGCTGCTCTGTTTCCTGAGCTTTTGTAAAGACATTGTGAGTAAAGATTACTCCAGCTAGCACATGGTTGAGTGGCCTTGCAGGGTGGGGGAAACTAAAAGTATAACCCTCTGACAAGTAATCAAAAGTAGCAAAGCAGAAAGAGCCCATGTGACTTCTGTGGTTTGAGGTACTTGTTACACAAACACTATCTTGCAGTTCACTCCCATTTCTCAGGGCTTTTTTCTTTAAGCCCCTGAGAGAAGTCTAGCTTTTAGCATTCAAATAAATAAATTTATATTTTTTTTCTCTTCAAACAGCCAGAACTCTTACACTTTCATGTTCTATGGCAAGTTGTGTTCAAAACACTGTCTACCTTTTTTGTAAAGGAAAAAGAAAAATTTCCCCAAATTCTGCCATTAGTTTGACATCCACTCTCCTACTTAATATGGGCCAGTGTAGTGTAAAGGTCAGGATGTGTGGATACTGATTCCTCATGAATATAAGCAAGACCCCTACAGGGTCCAGTCATAATGTCCTCTCACGAAGTCTTTGTAATGTACTTTCGCCAAACATCTTGGCTCATTAATGTTCATGAAAAAAACATTATATCTGCCACTTGGGCTGTGACCATTCAACATTCCTCTGGTTGTCCTTCCACTACTTCATCCTCACTAAAATTATCCATTATGTCTACAAAGAGCAATGGGAGGGGAAGCACATTTAGAGCACAAAGTTGGCCATGTCTTAGACTAGACTTAGTTACAACATCAGCAACTGATCCAAGGGAGGAATGGAGAGGGCATGAAAGTAACAGGCAAACCAAACAGGCACAAGAACATTTCCAGTTGGTCTCTGCCAATGCACATGCACCAAGGGCAACAACATGAATTACTCATTTTCACTGATGCTTTTATTGGTGGAAGTTAGAAAAATGGTTTTAAGGAAATTAGTTTCAGAGGAGGAGCAGGAGACATAAATAGAAGGAAGATTCAAAATAAAATCAAAATGAGAAGTTTTGGATAGTATAAAAAGTGAATTGTCATTTTCAAAATCATTGGGAAGTTCAACAGTAGAATATTAAAGAGTCAGAAAGTCTTTAAAATGGAAGTCAAAGCAAATTCAGCTCAAGCAAAATCTGCCAAATGTAAATCGTAAAATCTTCAGAGTTAACGGTGCTTAAGAGATGGTCACCTCAGAAATTTTTAAAACCCTATCACAGCATGACTCATTACAATTGGAATTGGATAATGGCATGAACAAAATGATGTCTCCAAAGACCTGAATGAATGAATGAATGAATGAAAGTCATTCAGTTGTGTCTGACTCTTTGCTTCCCCATGGACTGTAGCCCGCCAGGCTCTTCTGTCCATGGGGATTTTCCAGGTCAGAATACTGGAGTGGGTAGCCATTCCCTTCTCCAGGGGATCTTCCTAACCCAGGAATCGAACCCAAGTCTCCCACATTGTAGGCGATTCTTTACTGTCTGAACCACCAGGGAAGCCCTATAAAGATCCAAATCAGGGATGACAAACACATATGCCTCCAAGGTTCAGTTTGATAAAATAATATAAATGTGTAATACAAAACGAAGTTATAGAGACTTTGGCAACTAATGAATATGGTCAATTATAAAGACATTTATGGTGGGTGTGTGTGTGTGTGAGAGAGAGAGACAGAGAGAGATATGAGAGAGAGATTGAGTTTTAAAGTATCTCCAGGTTACTATAAGGTACATGAAATAAATTAACACTATTATTTGAGGACAGCAGTCCACCCGTCTTCTGGGAATTTTATAAAATTAGGTAAATATTTTAATTTTTCAAGATACCAAATAGAAATGACATGTTTGTCTGATATAAGGACACTAAGCCAACCAACAATCAGGTTTTACAGACAGATGTTAAAATTATATCAGTTAAGTTGTGTGATACTAACCTTAAACTAATATAAATTATAGAAATCTATTGAAAGAATAGATTTTAGAGAAATGTACTAAATTCAGAAATTGGAAAATTAACTTTTTACTAGATTTATGAAATGTGTTTAACAAGTAGAATACTTTAGATTATGAGACCCATGGCTGTAAAATCAGAGTCAAAGGGAAGTTTGACATTCAGCCAGTACATACCAGTATGGTCACCCTTGTTAATTACATGTTTATGACTTGGTCTATTTTGATCAAAATAGATCAGTTCTCTGTTCTGATTATCAGGACCTGTATCACACTAATTAGTAAATATTTTAATAACTTTGTTGTTCAGTCTCTCAGTTGTGTCCAATTCTTTGTGATCCCACGGACTGCAGCATGTCAGGCTTCCCTGTCCTTCACAACCTCCCTGAGTTTGCCAAAACTCATGTCTACTGAGTCAATAATGCCATCCAACCATCTCATCTTCTGTTGCCTCCTTCTCCTCCAGCCCTCAATCTTTCCCAGTATCAGGGTTTCTTCCAATGAGTAGGCTCTTCATATCAGACAGACAAAGTATTGCAGGTTCAGCTTCAGCATCAATCCTTCCAGTGAATATTCAGGATTAATTTCCTTTAAGATTGACTGGTTTGATCTTCTTGCTGTCCAAGGGACTCTCAAAGGTCTTCTCCAGCACCACAGTTAGAAATATTTTATTTTAATAACTACCCTGATCAAAAGTATCCTTTGTGATAACTTTAGGGAAAAAACTAATGTTTCCATACAAATGTGATTTCAACCTTTAAACCTTGATTTACAAAGATTTTCTACTATTTACTTAATATTCTATAAAATTTCCATTAAGATTGCCATTGTATTAATTATAATAGCCTGAAACCATCTTTCCCTTCATCATCCCCTTTATTTCATAATAAAATGAAACCAGATCAAGTTATCTACCTACTCAGAAAAATTCAGGAGTACCTCATTGTTTATAAAACAAATTAAAGAATTCCAAGTTCTTATCTAACTTCATCTCTGAAATGTCATATCACTTTTATAAGATACATAAGTAGTTTAATGGATAGGAGGTCTTACACCTCTGAAGCAAGGTCCTGGAACGACACTGTGTGCTGCTGACAGAGGGCAAGACCTGGTGACTGCCTTCATTCTCATATCACTTTTTTCAGATCATTCTTTTAAGACTTAGTATTTTACAGTTATATTATAAAGCTAATTTAACTTATATGCAGAGTACATCATGAGAAACACTGGGCTGGAGGAAGAACAAGCTGGAATCAAGATTGATGGGAGAAATATCAATAACCTCAGATATGCAGATGACACCACCCTTATGGCAGAAAGTGAAGAGGAACTAAAAAGCCTCTTGATGAAAGTGAAAGAGGAGAGTGAAAAAGTTGGCTTAAAGCTCAACATTCAGAAAACTGAGATCATGGCATCTGGTCCCATCGCCTCATGGGAAATAGATGGAGAAACAGTGGAAACAGTGTCAGACTTTATTTTTGGGGGGCTCCAAAATCACCGCAGATGCTGATTGCAGCCATGAAATTAAAAGACACTTACTCCTTGGAAGGAAAGTTATGACCAACCTAGATAGCATATTAAAAAGCAGAGACATTACTTTGCCAACAAAGTTCCATCTAGTCAAGGCTATGGTTTTTCCAGTGGTCATGTATGGATATGAAAGTTGGACTATAAAGAAAGCTGAGCATCGAAGAATTGATGCTTTTGAACTGTGGTGTTGTAGAAGACTCTTGAGAGTCCCTTGGACTGCAAGGAGATCCAACCAGTCCATCCTAAAGGAGATCAGTCCTGGGTGTTCATTTGAAGGACTGATGTTGAAGCTGAAACTCCAATACTTTGGCCACCTGATGCGCAGAGCTGACTCATTGGAAAAGACCCTGATGCTGGGAAAGTTTAGGGCAGGAGGAGAAGGGGATGACAGAGGATGAGACGGTTGGATGGCATTACCGACTCAATGGACATGGGTTTGGGTGGACTCCGGGAGTTTGTGATGGACAGGGAGGCCTGGTATGCTGTGGTTCATGGGGTCGCAAAGAGTCGGACACGACTGCGCAACTGAACTGATAAAGCTAATTATACACAAGTCTGTTTCTACACTGTCTAATTTCCTCTAACCACCTCATTTTCTATATGAACACCTATATCTAGGTGTTCAGTAAATGTTTGTTAATAGAAAGAAAAGGGTAGAGGAGAAGATATTTAACAAAATTAATTCAACATTGTTCTAAAGCATCAAAGAAGAAAAACTAAACTGGCAGAAAAATTTTGTGCTATTAACCCATATTCCAAAGTTCTATAATTTTCTATAATTCTATGGACAGAATTTTTTACAGTATTCAAACTAGTCAAAAAATCTTGAGATGAGATCCAGTTTATTTTACCAGTGCTATACTAAATTTTCAAGATAAATACAAATCTTATATTAATTGTCCAAAAGCATAAAACAAGATGCATTCTCTAAAGCTAATTAATCTGATCCTGCCTGAGAATCTCATGAACAGAGGAGACTGGCCGGCTATAGTTCATAGGGTCACAAAGATTCAGACACGACTGAAGAGACTTAGCATACATACACAAACTATATATAGAAGGCATAAAAGAATGAAGGAAGGAAAGAAAGGAGAGAGAATATTAAGCTAATCTCACTTATTAATTCTGATACAAATGTCCTAATAAAATATCAAATTGAGCCAAATACTGTATTAAAAATAATACTTCTCAACACAGTAGGATGTGTCCCAGGAATACAAAGATACTTCAACATTAGGATATAAAATATTAACATAAATCACTAAATCTCTGGAATGAAAGAAAGCATTCAGTGCAATAGACACCAAGACTGGTATTTCTTTGCTTTGAAAAATCCTAAGGAAGTTATACATAGAAGGAAAACTTTATTAACATAATGAAAAGTATCTGTCAGGAACACACACCAAATAACATCTTCAGTGTTGAAATGTATTTCTAATACAGTGAGAAGAAAAGAAGAGATGACAATAACTCTGACCAATGATCACTGCTGTACTTCATATCACAAATAGGAGGTATAGAATTTGTAAAGAAAGAAACTAAACCATAAGATTTGTTTGTGACATGGCTTCA